AATCCTACTAGCCTAACCAGAAATTGGTATCCTAAGCCTACACCACCTGATATTCAATTTGAAGAAAGAAATAATCTAAGTCAGTTTTCTGTTTCTCCTGATAAATTATATGAATGGAATATAGATGGCCTGTCTGAGCAAGAAATTATGAATAAATTAACCCACATGTCTATGGTAGCTAATAGTTACAGTACTAATCATAATCTAAGACAATCTGAGATAATTCCCCTGTTAGAAACTGGTTTTACAGGAACTCTGAGATCTTGGTGGGATAAGCATTTAACTGATGAGTCCCGAAATAATATTATACATGCGGTAAAATTAGATGCTGAAGGTCTGCCTTTATTTAATGAAAATATAGGACAAGGTATAGAAGACAGTGTTAATACTTTGCTTTATACAATAATTGAGCATTTTATAGGAACCCCGAGTCATACACAGTCTAGAATACATGATCAGCTGAGTAATTTGAGATGTCCGCAATTAAGTGATTTTAGGTGGTATAAAGATGTTTTTATTTCCCGTGTAATGCTGAGAGAAGATAGTAATCAGGCATTTTGGAAAGAAAAGTTTATAAATGGATTGCCTAATTTATTTGCTCATAAAATTAGAACTGTTTTAAGTAATGAATTAGGTCATATAGATTATGATAATCTGACTTATGGTAATATAATTAGTACAATTAATCAAGAAGGTATGAAAATGTGCATTGATATGAAAATAAATAAACAAATACAGTCTGAAAGAAAATCTGCAAGATATGAGTTAGGAAGTTTTTGTGAACAATATGGTTTGTATACTCCTCCTTCTAGAAAACATAAGGTTAAGTCTCCTAGTCATCTGCGTAAAAAACGTCATTATAAGCGTAAAAGACATTTTACTGAATCTAATGATGAGTTTTATAAGAAAAAGTCCCGCTTTAAGAAAAGATGGTCGGATAAGCCTAAAAAAAATAAAAGTAGAACCTTTAAGAAAAGAACCGACATGAGTAAAGTTAAATGTTTTAAATGTCAAAAGTTCGGACACTATGCTAATAAGTGTAAAGTTAAAGATACTATTAAACAGTTACAGATCACGGATGCAGATAAAGATAAATTCTGATGGGGTAGTTGTTATTATTTCAGGAGGTTGTAATGAAAGCAATAGAGGATTTCAATAGCTGTTGGGCCTTTGCAAGTGCTGTAGCTTCGGTAGCTAGTGGTCTCTTCAATGGCTGATGGGGTAGTTGTTACCCTATAAACTTTTATGCTCGGTTTTGCCGTGTGTTTCAATTGTATACCAAAGTTACAATTTGTTATAATTTAATCCGTAAAGAAATTTCTGTTTCTAACAAATAAGTACCACATATTAAACTTTCGTAGAATGAAAAGTATAGTTGGAGTCGGTTTTTATTTGGACCGTTTAAATAATTAATATTTCTATATATTAATTAGGCTTTTGTTTCGTAGGATCTTTGCTTATCAAATTAAAGGTCAACTAGCTATTTGATTGTCATAATAATCTTCGTAGTGTTCTCATCCAATTCATTGTGCCTGTCTATTTGTTCTAGGAAAACAACTTAGATGATTATTCATTTACGTTTGATCGATTTTTACCGGGGCCCCGAAAATAGGAAGTTCATCTCCGAAAATACATTAGACCTAAAATGGTGGTTTGTGCCCTATTAGATTACAAATCTGCAGTACAAGAAAAAAATTGACATTAGTGACCAACAGAATGGTCACTAAAAGTACGTAAAACTAATGCAGTGATGGTCAATATATAAGCTTGTCACAAATTATTTTTGGTGATCAACTGAATTTACTGTCACTAGAACGGAGACTATTAGTGACTTACCTAGCGCCAATAATATTATGATACTCCACAAATCGCATCGACTTAATGCAATTCACATTTATGTTTTTGCTGCATTAATTTCCGTTAGCTTTAATTTGTAGGGTTTCAGATTAGCTAGATTTATCAAACAATTTGTTTTTGCCAAACAGTGAATCCGTCCTCATTTGTCACCAAACAAACAGCTTGGAGTTTGAGTTCCAATCTACTAATCTTCTACTGATTCAAGCATTACCATAACACCATGGTCTATATATATACAACAATTTTTTTTTGTTTTGGGTGAACTATTCGTCAAATATTTTACAAAGAAAGAAAAAGAAAACATGTCCTTTGTAAAAAGAAAACACTTATAAAAACACGAGCTATCACAAAACGGACAACCAGCCAGCAAAAGGAGCTCCCGTCCACTGCCTTCTCCACCAAAATTTTGATTCAACCTGAAACAACATAACCTGGCATAAGCATTCAAAGGCCGTGGGTGTAAAAATCTAGGAACAAACAGATACATATAGTACTTGGACACTAAAAATTATCATTTCTTACCTCTCATCTTTAATTCTCAAATCCCTCAAGCGTTCTTCGGTGTATCACGATTGATTGTGATCCCTTTCTTCTGGCCAGTCAGCATATCCTCAGCGGAGACTCTCAAGATTCCATTTGAGTCAATATCAAAGCAAACATTGAACTCAGGAACACCTTTGGGAGCGGGAGGAATGTCATCAAGGCAAAATTCACCCAAATAGTTATTATTTACCGTTGATGTACTCTCACCCTCATAAATGGCGAATCTGATACTACGTTGGTTGTCATAGACAGTAACTAGAGTCGTCTCCTTCACCACGGGAACTCTCGTGTTTCTTCGGATCACAAATTCCATGGCATTTTTATCACCCGTGCTTACAATCGTAACCTGCACCCCAAGTGACATAGGGATGACATCCAAGAGACTGAAGTCTTGAAGCTTCCCTGTTACATTGCCAGTCAAGACTGCAGCTTGAACAGCCGCTCCATATGCCACAGCCTCATCCGGATTAATGTTCCTGCACAACTCCTTACCGTTGAAAACCTCCTTCAATAGCTCTTGCACCTTTGGAATTCTCGAAGAGCCACCAACAAGAACAACATCATCGACATTGCTTATGTCCATTTTGGCATCCTTCAAACACTTCTTCACAGGCTCCATGCACTTGTTGAAGATATCCATGTTCATTTCCTCAAATTTCTTCCGGGAAAATTTTGCATAAAAATCTTCACCCTGGTACCAACAGTCAATTTCAATATCGGTTTCAAACGAATATGACAGTGCCTTCTTTGCCTTCTCACACTCAGTTTTGGCCCTCCTAAGAGCTCTGGAGTTTCCACTAATGTCCAACTGATGTTTTCTCTTGAATTCTTGGACACAGTAACTCACCATTCTGTTATCCAAGTCTTCACCGCCAAGGTGTGTGTCTCCAGCAGTGGCCATCACTTCAAACGCACCATGTTGTCCAATGATAAGCAGAGACACATCTAAAGTGCCACCGCCCCAATCAAATATCATCACATGTTTCTTCTTATACCAACCAACCTTCTTGTCAATGCCATAAGCAATGGCTGCAGCCGTTGGTTCGTTGATAATACCCAGCACATTTAAGCCGGCCAAGGCACCGGCATTCATTGTAGCCTGACGTTGCGAGTCGTTGAAGTACGACGGCACAGTAATAACTGCATTTTTCACATTTGAGCAGAGGTAGGTTTCCGCAATCTCCTTCATCTTCCTGAGAACCAAGGATGATATTTGTTCAGCAGCAAATTTTTTCTCTTCACCTTTGTGCATTACCACAATCTTGGGCTTGCCACTAGGATCTTCAATCACCTTGAATGGCCAGAGCTTCACATCACTTTGAACAGAGGCGTCACTGAATCTCCTACCAATTAACCGCTTTGCATCTGCAAGTTGACTTCAAGTTAATTAGTTTAAAATATTTCTAGCATGAAACAATTTAACTATTTAAATCTCCATCTTAGGAATCAATCAAATAATATATATTGCAATTTAGTGTCAGATCAAACCTGAACTAACAAATTAAAACACCCGAAAATATGAAAAGTTGCATAAAATATTACACCACTGTGTTAACTATCAAGGGTAAAATGGTTAGTATCCGGAAAGTTAAAAACTTATTGACCTATAAAGTAAAAGTGAAAACAATTTATTGCTATTCTTACCGAAGATTGAGTTGGCCGGATTTCTCAGGATTTGGTTAAATGCTTCATCGCCTACCAACCTATTACTTTCAGTGAATGTAACATAAGATCGAGTTGTCCTTTTACCCTGATCATTTGCTATGATTTCTGCATGATCCTTCTGCCACACCGCTACACACGAATATGTAGTGCCCAGATCGATCCCGATTGCAGGACTCTCTGCTGCCATTATTAATTTCTCAGCTAACTGTTGAAGAAGCTGATTGTGAGCAAGAAGTAAAATGATCGTAGAAATTAATGGATATTGAAATGAAGTTTGTATATATATGGAAGAAATGAGAAGTCTGAGTCAATACGCGTTCAAAAGTATACTTCAAATGTTGAGCAACAAAATTAAGTAATGATATGGGACTCAAACGCAACCCAAACGGGTGGGTAGCAAACGCAAAACTCAATTGAAATTTTGATTGAAAAAAAAAAAGAGTAATGATATGTGATGTGAGAGAACTTTTATTTTTATTTATTTATTTTCACATTAGGTGAGCATACGATCAAAGAGAAGAAAGTTAAAATGTATAAGGTGGCACGCAGTGAACACAAAATCAAAGGAGATGAACGGTGATGCGCATAGTTCCAACAATGAGTTCATATCTTTAGAATTTTATATATTCGGCGAAAAAAAAACCAAAAAATAGTAAATATGAAGATTTCAAAATTTGCCAAATCCACTAATTTTGTGTCTTCTTTTTCAGACTTGTTTTTTTAATCCAATTACTTTAAAAGGGAAATACTTTGCTCCTTAAATGTAAGCGGTCATCATAGTCGGACATGTACGCAGAAAACGCAATAATGTTTATGTCATCAAACATTTGACTAGGTTATGAATCTTATCCGGTCATATAATTTAGCACACCAAAAGGAAAAAAATTAAGGAAATAAAAAAGAATGCGGATGGATGGGTACTCGTAAGATATTTTGATTTGAAATGTGGAGGAAGTAGCCTATTGATGAATCTAAGTCAATGCTTTGTTAATATATTAAGGAATATAATTTAAACTTTAAAACTTGTGATGTAGAGCAAGTTGAATAGATCGTAGAAGTTTCGAAATAATTTAATAAATTCAATGATTTGTTAGGAAGGAAGGATGGAAATAAAGGGAGGCTTCAGCATCAAGCAAAGTCACAGCAACTTCGTTGCTTATTCCGTTTGAATAAAAAAACATGATGGCGACCATGAATATAACATATCCAAATCAGCCGGAAGAAGTCTTTGTCTTTGATAGATGGAAAATAAGCGGAACGTTGTTCTGAATTTCGATGTATCATATTCAACTCCTTGTATTAATTTAATTTCTGGTTGGTTTGCTCCTATAATGGCGCAAACGTTTTGGACCCAATCTCTTGATCCTTAACAATAACACCGACTAGTACTCCTTGGAATAAAAAAACCCACAGTAATAT